TTTCTACGACCATCGCGGTTGCGCCCAGACACTCGTTGCCCTGCGCTTGACGACTGGATCGCCCACATGGCGGCGATTATGAAGCGCGCACACGAGAGTTTAGCCGACTCCCAGACTCGCATGGCCGCACGAGCGAACCGATCACGAATGGATCATCCATTCAAAGTCGGTGACGATGTGCTCGTCGACGCACACCACTTACAGCTCGAAGCAGATATGCTTCGCAAGTTCAGGTGTCGTTTCTTCGGTCCATGCCGTATCCTTCAGGCCGTCGGCTCTGATACTGCCGCTAGTCCGGTCAGCTTCCGTGTGAAGCTACCTGATTACCTTCGACAGGCTCGCGTACACGATGTTTACCACGTCTCCTTGCTGCGTCCTTATCGCAGACTGTCTGAGCGCTTCGCCGGACGCCTTTATGAGCGCCCTCCACCTATCATGGTGGACGGTCACGAGGAGTTCGTTGTTTCCGACATCGTATCACGCCGAGTTACCGACGATACCCCTCCACGCATCGAGTACCTTGTGTGTTGGAAGGGCTACCCTGATGAGGAGGCTACTTGGGAGCCCCTCGAGCACTTGCAGCACGCCAGGATGTTGGTGCGTGCATTTGATCGTGCTCGTCGTACTGGGACATCTGCTTCTACTCAGCCGACTGACCCTCTTCCTCCTCCTCCGGCTGAGGAGATCGMTGAGGATGAGCCCGCTCCCTCTGAGGCCGTTCCTCAGCCGTAGATGGTCGCCTCCGAGCGTCCACAGCGCACTCATCGTCGCCCTTCACGTTACGATRAYTGACACTCTTATCCTCCATCTTTCCCCAYTGACTCACACCATCAGGTACTCCATCATCAGCTCTTCTTCAGGATGTCAGCGTTTTGCGGCTCTGCTTCGACATCGACTCGACTGCTACTTCGACGTCATCGACCGATTCGACGACTTCAGCTACCTTATCGGCTTCAGCTACTTTGGGCATGACTACTTCACGCCACCACCCTACCCTGTACATTCCCTTGCATTTGTCGCATGATGGTTCTCACTTAGCTGGGTCTCTTTGAGTTGGGCTCTCCCTTGGTATCGCATAGGCATCGGGACCGTAGCGTTATCTTGGCTTCCTTGCTCTCAGATCTAGCTCCCTCCTCCCCCAGTTGGTGAGTTGTGTGTATATTTCCCTCACCCACGGCCCTCATCACCCTAGTGTCGGCCCTTGCATGCCTTCAGTTAGGCATATCTTCACCCTATTCCAGGCTCCCCCCTTTTCATGGTCGACCTTGCATGGTGTCACCCTTTTGTCGAGCATTACCCGCCTTGATGGTCTATCTATTAGGGTCGTTGGTTTTGTTTCGCTACCACTCTCCCACCTTGAGCCTGATGACCTATCCCACCTTCATGTGTGACTGCCCTTAGGAGTTTCGATTCTTAGGCTGCATTCACCCCCTCTGAGACCATCCCACTCTTAGTGGTTCAGCGACATGACATTATCTTSTGACATATTGCTCTTTTCCTTTCAGCACTGAGGCCACTGCCTCCAGGACTTTAGGATTGTATCATACTACATTTCATTTTCTGCTGTTAGCTAGGATATGTATACCAGACATTTGYTTTTYYTTTGATATTATGTAGCTTAGGATGCATCGCATGGACTCCGCATGGAGCTTGCTCCGCATCCTAGATTTCTCAGCTTTCTTTATTGCAGAGTTCCGCTGCTTTTGCGGATAGCGTGTTTATGGCTCTTGCRATCCATTACAGGTCTGAGGATCGTGCAGCGGGCCTTCATCTGCCCTGGCCTACAACCAAGGCCTATTTGGCTATTTGCCCAGTTCGGCCTGTGGGACCAGGCCGTGGCCTGACCCCACAGGCCGTGTGCTATTCTAGTCCTGCCCGGTACCACTATCGGTACCAGTCCAGTCAGTCAGTCCGCTGGGGTTATACCCCAGCAGTTGTCTGTTTTTCATCATTCTTCACTTTCGCAGATCTTGGAGTACGTGCGTGTGGAGTCCGCGTCGGAGCTGCGCTGTCCCTTCCAGCTTCATCTCTATCTCCTCCTTCGTCTACCCTTCTTCTCCATCCTGTCGGACCGCCATCCTGTCGGACCGCCATCCCGGCGGGTCCGGCACACTTAAGAATTTAGGGTTTTCAACTCGATTATAAGATCAATATCCATACACAGAAATTGTTTTACGAAAAGCAAAACTTAGATAAAAAACATGATTCTACTATTTGAAATCGCAGATTATAACATCATAAGTATAAAACATAAAATGATGCGGTTGGAATTTGGAAAACAAGATAATGAGATTAATTTTGATGTCCAAATAGACTTACAAATCTTACGACTGTGGTTTTTAAATCCAAGGATACAAAAAATAGCTCATAAAATTTACCAGATGTTGTAATCTGAAGACTAATTTAGATGGTTATATGATTACAGAACAAAGTAGTCGATTGTAAACTTCGACCACCAATCTATGGAAAAAAGAAATTAAGAATTAAAAAGCAAACAAAAATAAGATTTACAGATAATCCGTCGGATGTTAAGATCGACAACATTCAATTCACCATCCAATAAAATATCAGGAAATGGACTAGGTTCCGATTCACAAAACACCAATGCGACATGCCCAACCATCAAATCATCTATCGAAATAGTACTTAGGGTTAAATTATGAAAAAATGTTACACCCAGAGTTCCCGTCGCTACGTGACGCCGCCTTCAATTTCACCCGAAGTCACCAATCACAGCAGACCATCACGCACCGCTCCGCTCCTGCAGTCCCCTTGTCCAGCTGCCCAACCGTTGTCCACATCAAACTCAACCCCTTTCTCTTCCTATATAAGGAGTCACTCCTCCTTCCCATAGACGATGCTAGTATAGCCCTACGCCAAAGTGCACCAATTAGAAGAGATTAGTGGGAGGCCCCCGCCTCCCTATTACTCCTCGAACGCGGTAACCGTTGCGTTGTGAATGACCATGTCAAGCCCGTCAACACAACTTTACAGAGAATTCGGTCCAGACAACAAACAATCAGAGAAGCAGCAGACAGAGATTAAACACAGAAGACAAAAAAAAGAAACCGCACGGCTACTCAAACCACACGCCCCTCCTGTCTCCACATCCATGGAAGTCTCTAAGAAGTGTCACCGCCACACACGATATTGAACCGTCATGCCCTCGTGAAAGTGCCATCGCAGCTTCACGTCTCAACGCACATTAGTGCACCCATCGTTTCGGCCCAGGCGGGCGTAGCGTTCTCAGTAGCGCTGCACCCGCTCATTTAACATCCACCCCCGCCTAGTCGGGCGGACTCAGACTGGTGTAGCTTTTCATGTTCTAGCAGAAGATTTATTCGCAAGGCGACAAATCCAAAGTTGGGGCAATGCTCACCATTGTGCAAGTGAGTCTGTGCCTTCACATTCCATCTGGACTTGGACTGGAGTCTGCATTACAACAATTCGCGAATGTACCAACGGCTGGACTGTTAAGGTCGGTTTGTTTTTTCCCTTTTCTTTTTTTTTCTTGCCATTTTTCATTCCCCTCTCCCCCTGCTCCGTGGTAGTTGAGACCCTGAAAGTGGAAGAACGGGGAAGGGGTTCTAACGAGTAACCAGGCGTGCCTCATTGCTAGAATACAGCCGTTTTCGTTGTGTGGGAGTACAATGGGCTCCCGCTATAGTTGAGCCGAATATTTGAGGTCGTGGAATTAGAGATCTCGCGACTCATAACTTGTGTGGGGGAAAGAGTGAGTTAAGGG